TGAACCAAATATGGCACACAGAACTCCCACAACGAACAGAAAATATATATCAATGATTGGTTGGGGTGTGTGTGCCAAAACACTGTTTGCTTACCGTTGAAAATTACCTAGGGCCGCCTCTGAGTAGCCACCACTATTTATGCTGCCCAATCAAGCCCTTACAGCTGAGAGGCCCTCTTCTGAGCCAGCCAATTGGACCTTCTCAGCTGTACGGCATCAACCCTTAGCTGGAGCTGGACAGGGAGAGTCAACTGCTCTTCCCCATGAAGAGCCTGTTATTGATTAGTGAGCGCCAAAGTGGCTCTGGTGGCTGTTCTACATTTGCTTCAGATTCGGCGTCTGGGAAAAAAACTCTCTATCATCCTCATCCTCCGTCAAGAAGATCCTGATATTCCCCACCCGATACCAATGCACGGAGGAGAATGGAGTGAGAAAGTACCTTCTCGAATCGGGCCTGGATGAGGTTGGCCTTGTCGACGAGGCGGTGCTTGAAGTCGCTGAGGCAGTCCTCCTTGAGGCGGAGGGCCAGCCACTTGGTCATCTTCTCCACGCCGCCCGCCTGGATCAGGAAGGGCGCCAGGTAGTCCAGTTCCTGCTCCACCTGCCGCTGGCGCTCCTCTTGCAGCTGGCGCTCCTAGAGGAAGGAAGGCAGAGCGCTGGGATCAACCTAGGCACCCTTCTCTAAGGAAGGGGAACTATACATCACAATGATGTGAAGCACACCCCCCCCCCCAAATAAGGGATAGTGACTTATAGTTCTGCAAAGGGCAAGGGCACCAGACTACACAACAAGGGTTAAGTCTTGGTCACATTGCCAAGGCACTGACAACAATAAGGACCCCACGAGGCTTTTGGGAAATGGCTGGATCTTGGGACTTCTGCCCTTTGTGAGAGTTGTAGTTTCCCAAGGAACAAAATCATGAATCAGTTGCAGCACAGCTGGGGTTTCATCTGCCAGCCTTCCCAATGATCATGGACTCTCTGCCTGCATGTCTTGGACTTCAGTACATACTATCTCCCTCATGAACTTTCTTCAAAGACCTTTTAAAACATTGGACTTCAGGCTTCTTCATGAAAATTAATTGTCTTATTAAATATACTTGGAATGTGGGACAAAGATAGGGTTTTGTTGCTATGAAATGCTTATGATTAGGAATGTATGTATCTTGCTATGAAATATTGCCTTTTCCCTTTTGCCTTTTGCCCTAGAAAATGTGACCCAGGACTGTTGAAATGCTTGAGGGAGAACCACCACCTCCCTTTCTTATTTGATTATTTCACATCTGCATGGAACAATAGCCATTTATGGTTTCCTTTGTCCCGCCCTCGGAGTTGGTCCAGTGAGATGAGGAAGTCTATTTGGAATACGGACATTATGATTGATTTACAAAGGGCAGTGTTGATCCCCCCCGAGGTCCGCTGCCCTGATCCTGTTTATTTCCCTCACCAAAACCCCTCAAAGGACAATAAGCTGCTTCGGCTGGAGACATTTTTCCTTTGTTTCGCTGAGCACATGGCTAGTTTCCATTGACCCATTCATGAACTCGCCCTGTTGCCCAATCACAGCGGGGAACGTCAGAGGAGCCGGGGCGGGAAGTTTGAACTCTGGGTTTTCAAAAATTGTATAAATATGCCTGCATCACTGTGCTCCTGCATGCTTGTAGTGGAACTATTCCTACAATGCATCCGATTGCAGCTGAATTGTTAATAAAACACCTTGGTCGCTGAAACTTCTTCCACTTTGGTGAGGATTTATTATTTTTAATATTTTTATTGCTGAAATTGGCTTCGCTGGCCTCACCAAGGTTCCAGGACTCTCTTTGGTGTGGTCCTCAGGGATCTCCTCGGCTGGGGAGACCCTCCTAAAAGCAGCTCGATATCAACAAGAAGCCCAAGAAAGGAGCTTTCCTGCTATCTACAGAAAGCGCTACTGGTGGCAATTTTGATCTCTTTGTAGTGCCATCATTTTATTTAAGCCTTTGGGGACCAAACATGTGACTTTTAAAGGTGTTCTGCTACACGGCTGAAGTGACATCTGACATCGATGCAGCCATATTTGTAGCTGCCAGGCCAGTGTTCAAAAAAGATATAAACATGTGGGTTGCTGTGACTTTTCTGGGCTGTATAGCCATATTTCAGCAGCATTCTCTCCTAATGTTTCACTCACATCTGTGGCTAATGGCATAATCAGAGATTCTGTTGACAATGAAGCAAGTGGAGTGTGTGTGTATCTGTGGAATAGAGATATTGACAAGCTGGAATGTGTCCAGAGGAGGGCGACTAAAATGATCAAGGGTCTGGAGAACAAGCCACATGAGGAGCGGCTTAAGGAGCTGGGCATGTTTAGCCTGAAGAAGAGAAAGCTGAGAGGAGATATGATAGCCATGTATAAATATGTGAGAGGAAGCCACAGGGAGGAGGGAGCAAGCTTGTTTACTGCTTCCATGGAGATTAGGACAAGGAACAATGGCTTCAAACTACAAGAAAGGAGATTCCATCTGAACATGAGGAAGAACTTCCTGACTGTGAGAGCTGTTCAGCAGTGGAACTCTCTGCCCCGGAGTGTGGTGGAGGCTCCTTCTTTGGAAGCTTTTAAACAGAGGCTGGATGGCCATCTGTAAGGGGTGATTTGAATGCAATATTCCTGCTTCTTGGCAGAATGGGGTTGGACTGGATGGCCCATGAGGTCTGCATCAATAGGATTATAGTGTCTAGATCCAGGGAAGTCATGCTCCCCATGCTCTATTCTGCTTTGGTTAGACCACACCTGGAATATTGTGTCCAATTCTGGGCACCACAATTGAGGAGAGATATTGACAAGCTGGAATGTGTCCAGAGGAGGGCAATAAATATTTCAAGTTCTAGACAACAGCAAAGAAAAGAGATTCCATCTGAACATGAGGAAGAACTTCCTGACTGTGAGAGCCGTTCAGCTGTGGAACTCTCTGCCCCGGAGTGTGGTGGAGTCTCCTTCTTTGGAAGCTTTTAAACAGAGGCTGGATGGCCATCTGTCAGGGGTGATTTGAATGCAATATTCCTGCTTCTTGGCAGAATGGGGTTGGACTGGATGGCCCATGAGGTCTCTTCCAACTCTTTGATTCTATGATTCTGTGACAATACAAATGCGGCATTTTTGCAATGAAAGAAGCTTGCCACCTACCATGGCCTCCCGATGTTCTTTGCTCTTTTCATTCCTCTCCGTGTCGTAAATGGAGACGCTCAGCTTGCTGGCCGCTTCTTCGTCCTCTCGGAGTTTTAGAATATCCAAGATCTTAGATGGAACAGACAGAAGTGAGAAACACCTTCAAGTCCTAGGAGTAATAAGGCATCTCCATCCTTTCCATGGTTTTGTCACACCTCAGAGTAGTATCACTTTGCTTAAGACACCAAACAGCACACAAGCAATAGTCTTTATTAGGCTTGGGCGATCAAGAAAAAAATTGGTTCTAAACTCGTTTCGTTTCTAGGGTGCGCTAGCGTTTCTAAATTCTGAGGACTTCCGAAATTTAAGATTTCAAAATTTCAAAATTTCTGAAATTTCGTAAATTACGAATCGATTCGTTAATGGCGGACGCGATTGCACAATATGCTAAAAAAAACCCCTCCAAATGGGACAGGAGGAATTTCTGAAGCTTCCCTCTCCCTCTGTTGTTGACTGTTGGTGTGATAAAACAAACAACAACTATATTATATTATATTATAATATTATATATATTATATTATTATAATATTATTATATTATATTATATTATATTATATTATATTATATTATTTATTATATATAGTATATATATTATATTATATTATTGTATATTATATTATTATATTATATTATATTATATTATATTATAATATATTATATTATAATATAATAATATAGTAATAAAATATATAATATAATAATATAATATAATATATACAATACTATAATATAATAGTATTATAATAATATAATATAAAATATTATATTTGTTGTGAACTGCTGTGAGTCGCCTTCGGGCTGAGAACAGCGGTATATAAGTAAGGTAAATAATAATAATAATAATAATAATAATAATAATAATAATATATTATTATATATTATATTATATATTATATTATAGTATTGTATATTAGAGTGAGGCAAGAAGAAGCACGAGGAAAGAGGAGGGAAGCAGCAGAGCAAAGGGACCGGAAGTGGGGTAAATGCGAGATTGTAAAACTTGCACCAGACATACGAAAATAATTACGAAATAATTACGAAATAATTACGAAAATTGGAAAAATTGTTTCGATTATTAATTACTCCTCACACTATTCCTGCATGGTTCGATATTGGATCGTAAGCTAATTTAAATACGAATTAATAACGAATTACAAAATTAACGAACTGGATCGCCCAAGCCTAGTCTTTATGGTTATTTAAAGTAAAAGAAAAGAGTTCAAAAAAGCAAAAGTATAGTTCCAAAGATCAATACAAGGTAACGTCTGTGCGCATTCAGAAGAAGATCTACAAGCCACTCTAAACACCTTCGCAGAAGCATACACGAAGCTCGGCCTGTCACTGAACATCGAGAAAACCAAAGTGCTCTTCCAGCAGTCACCAGTCCATCCCTCTCCAATGCCAGAGATACAACTTAATAGTGTAACATTAGAAAATGTTGATCATTTCCGCTACCTTGGCAGCCACCTCTCCACCAAAGTCAACATCGACACCGAAATACAACACCGCCTGAGCTCTGCAAGTGCAGCATTTTCCTGAATGAAGCAGAGAGTGTTTGAGGACCGGGACATCCGTAGGGATACCAAGGTGCTTGTCTATAAAGCTATTGTCCTCCCAACCCTGCTCTATGCCTGCGAAACGTGGACTGTCTACAGACGTCACATGCAACTCCTGGAACGATTCCATCAGCGCTGCCTCCGGAAAATCCTGCAAATCTCTTGGGAAGACAAGCGGACAAACGTCAGCATGCTGGAAGAAGCAAAGACCACCAGCATGAGGTTTCATGAGTAACCTCAGGCACAGACTTCAAGAGGTTTCTATAAGCAGATGTATCTCTTCTGGACAACTGTCCCAACAAAACAAATAAGCCAAAAGGCCTATTCAACAGAATTGGCTCCCAGCCAAACCTTGATTCTTAACCCAGAATCAATAACCCCCTGTAGTTTTATCACTACCGGGTCCTTTCCTGTAACCCCTTTGGTCACAAATAAACTCCCTGTTTCTCCCACTAGAGAAACCAGTCCTTCCCTGTAGCTCACCGGCTTACAGACTGCCACTTTCAAACAGCTGCCCCGTGAAGAGGCAGTTGGCTCCGCCCCGTTGCTATGGCAACTCAGCTCAGGCTAAATCAGCCACCATCTCTAACAAAATATAATCCTACATACTTACCATTTATTAACTACTGTTTAAACAACACATAACCATAAGAATAAAAGTTACACATCGTCACACTGTTCAACAGTGGAACTCCGCTCCATTAGGAAAGTCTAGATGGTATTGCACCACCTGACATCTGCCGGGAAGTAGCAGCCAATAGTGAAAGGACCAAGGCAGTGACATCTGGCCCATCCTCTGTTTGGGTATCAGCCAGCACGTCAATGACTTAAATCAAGAAATAGTTTTCTAAGATCTACAGAGACACTCGCTGGAACACCCCAGCAAGCAAGAGTCCAAAAGTGGCAGGCTCAAACCCATGGCTGATACCAAATGAGAGACTCCCCCCTGGGCACACAGAAGACTGGGCGACTTGGGAGGTGCTGAACAGAGATGCAGAGCCAACCTCAAGAAATGGGGCCACAAAGTGGAGTCCACGAAATGCGAGTGTGGAGAAGAGCAAACTGCAGACCACCTGCTGCAATGCAACCTGAGCCCTGCCACATGCACCATGGAGGACCTTCTTATAGTAACACCAGAGGCACTCCAAGTGGGCAGATACTGGTCAAAGGACATTTAATCAACTACCAAGCTTGCAAATTTTGTGTTTTGTCTGTTTGTTTGTTTTTGTTAAAAATGTAAAACAAATGTCTGGTTGCTGATGACACGATAAATAAATAAAGTGCTTTCTTGACCATTATCTGGCTGAGAACAACTGTCTTCCCTTCCTGAATCAGAATACACCTGGCTCTCAGTAGTTTCATTATCAACAGCGTCATCCCTTGCTGTGGGAAACAACTGAACTTCTGTACCCTGTTTTTCCTCATCTATCACAGTGTGCCGTCGCGCTTGGGGGCTATTTTTCTTAATGAAGGAGGGATGGACGTGGCATCTTTTCCCAAGGGATTGCTTCTTGCCCTCCTATAGGAAACTGGAACTCCCAAAAACCCAAAACGCTGTAAATAACTCAAAATAAGTTTTATTGATCACAAAGAGTTATTTCTTAAAGCAATAAGCTGGAAACTTTAGAGGGGTGAAGGAAGATATACGTTACAGTCTCAATTAGCCCTGGTGTACAGGAGTTGATTATAAATTGTATGATTTTAACTGTATTTGTGTTTAGATTGGCTGCAATAATGCTGGAGCGGCCTAAGTCAGAGGAGTCCTCCATGTGCGTTGCCATGGAGACCGATGCAGGAGAGAGGGAAGTGGGAGGAGCTTAGAGGGGAGAGTTTGAAAAACGACAGTTAGGGATCAGTTAGTAGGGCTGGGCGGTTTCGTTTGTTAATTTCGTTCGTTATTAATTCGTTATATTTTTTGATAACGAAGCGATATTGAACCATTCAGGAGCAACTAAAAATCGAAACGAATTTTTCAATTTATTTCGTAATTGTTTCATAATTGGTTCGAAATCGTTTCGAAATTGTTTCGTTATTATTTCCGTATGTCTGGTGCAAGTTTTATAGTTGTTGTTTGTTTTATCAGTGATAAAAAAATAAATTATCACACCAACAGTCAACAACAGAGGGAGAGGGAAGCTTAAGAAGTTCCCTCTGTCCCATTTGGAGGGTTTTTTAGCATATTGCGCAATCGCGTCCGCCATTAACGAATCGATTCGTTATTGTTTCGAAATTGTTTCGTAATTTCCGAAATTTCGTAAATATCGAACTTTTTTAAAGAAAAATTTCGGAATTCTTTTAAAAAACGAAACGCAAAAAACCCCCTAAAAACGAATCGAGTTTAGAAACAAATTTTTCCGTGGTTGCCCAGCCCTAGTAATTAGGGGGTTTAGGTTTAGAGGAGTGAGCAGTCAGGAGTTAGGTTCAGAGGAGTGAGGAGTTAGGAGTTGGGAGAGAAGGAAAGGAAAGGTGGCGGAGTGACTTGTGAAGCAAAGCTTTGAGGCTTTGAAAAGCTGGGTTTGGCTATTGGAAGTTTCTCAGGCTAGTGCAGCCGAATGGTGAAACAGAGCTGGTATTCTTTTAGTCTAAGGAGAGGCTAAAGAATAGTTTACTTAATATTTGATCTAGGGAGGATCAAATAAGGGAAACATCCCTGTATTGAAACTTTGTCTGAAACAAGTGCTCTACGTCAGAAAGATACTGTGTTACTTGAAAGAATGAACTGTTAAAGTTACAAGTATTATTCCAAGTGCAACAAGGAAAAGTTACGTCTTGCAACCACACGCTGTGTACTTAATAAAATTGTTAACTTTTATTTGAAGATTGCCTCAGCTCCGTCTATTCTGTGTCCAAAGTGCAATTTCTCACAATATTACAACTTACCTCACGTGGTGGCAGAAACGTAGGGAAAAGTAACCAAATAAATCTACATTCTTCTCTCCAGTCACGCTACAGTATATACAGTGTAATTACTACTAAGTTATTACTTTCTTAATAAAGGAGGAGGTGCAATTGAACAGCCTCCCTTCCAACTTGATGGTAAATTTGGTTCCTAATCGGCAACCTCCATTGCAAATCGGCCAGTCTTTTTAAAATTGGGAACTGGGGTAAAATCTCCTGAATACTGGTTCTTTTCAAATTGGTGGCAACAATAAATAATCCCTCAGCTCTCTTGCTTCTTTACCTGGGTCCAAGGTGTTTGAAGATGAGAAGCCTCACCAAGTTTCCTCTTTCCTCAATGGCTGTAAATGCCGGAGCAAACCACAACACCAGTTCTCATGGCCTATGTTTTGAAGACTCAGGATCTTCCTTTGGTGCCAAAAAGAACTGGTTTGAAGGCGCTTGGGTCTCCTCAATGTTGTCCAGGATGATCTGGACATAAAGCATGAGTCCCAGGGGTAAAAAACCTCAGAACTGGTGCTAAGAGGTAATTTAAATCAGGGTCTTTTAGAGTCAAGTCTCTTACTCGCATCCATATGGTAGGAAATCTGATGGCAGAATGAAAAAGAAAGGAAACACTCCCCTCCTGCAGGAAGAGGTGGAGCAAAAGGGTACTGATTGACAGCTATAAGTAACCAATCCATACAACTATACATAAGCAGGGAAAAAGGGGCAGGATTAAGCATGATACAACAGTTACACATGATACACAAAGAGTCATTTCTTTAAAGCAATAAGCTGGAAACTTCAGAGGGGTGAAGGAAAATATACGTTACAGTCTCAATTAGTCCTGGGTCCGAGGTGTTTGAAGCTCACCAAGTTTCCTCTTTACTCAATGGCTGTGAATGCTGGAGCAAACCACAACCCCAGTTCAGATGGCCTATGTTTTGAAGACTCAGGATCTTCCTTTGGTGCCAAAAGAACTGGTTTGAAGGTGCTTGAGACTTCCAACATCGTTCAGGTTGGTCTGAACATGAAGCACAAGTCTCAAGGGTAAAAAACCTCAGAACTGGTGCTAAGAGGTAACTTAAATCAGGATCTTTTAGAGTCAAGTCTCTTACTCATGTCCATATGGTAGAAACTGTGATGGCAGAATGAAAAAGAAAGGAAGCACTCCCCTCCTGCAGGAAGAGGTGGAGCAAAAGGGTACTGATTGACAGCTATAAGTAACCAATCCATACAGCTATACGTAAGCAGGGAAAAATTAAGCATGATACAACCATTTAAATCTTGCCACTAACAGTTCTATACATAGGTGGCACCACCCGTGCCATCACACACAGGGACATCGCTTTGCACTTGACTGTGAACCTGAATCCCATCATCCTTATCAGAATCATTGACACTATCACTCTGTGATTCCAACTGATGAGAGCACTGGAAAAAAAGATGTCCGCTCCCTCCTGTTTACCTCTATCTCGGACTCCCAGACATGGTGCCGGGAAATCTTTTCATCCTCGATAAGTTTCATCAGCATTTCGTACAGATGCAACAACTTCTTCTCTTTCTCAAGAGACCCAGCCTAGAAGCAAAGCAACCAGGGAAGAATGAATGAGGGCTCTAGAAGTCTTCCATCGAGGGAGAGAGGGAGGACACTATTTGGGGTTCCATATTCATTTCACACACATTGACTTTTTGGAAAAAGTCAGGGAATGAATAAAGAGGAGAAGATTGCCTCATCCAATCTGTTTGTATGCTCCGATTTATTTATGTATTTATTTGCAATGTTTATATTCCACCCTTCTCACCCTGCAGGGGACTCAGGGCAGATTACAATGCACATAAACATGGCAAACATTCAATGCCATTTAGACATACAACAAATAGACCAGTGTTTCGCAACCTGGGGGGGCGGGACCCCTGAGGGGGTCATGAGGGGGTGTCAAACGGGGTTCTGGTGGTCATTGGGACCTGGT